CCTAAAAAGATAAAAGGTCCGGCTGTGGCGGCAAAGAATGTGTCCTTCTTTCTCTATAATAGGCCTCGCCAACGTGTTCGTAGTGTTGACAACAACTACGGCGCTTCTGGCCCATGTTCAAGCTGAACTACATCCGCGCGTAATCTCTCCGACATCTTGTACAAAAGATCTCCGGGCGGTTGCCAGTTGGAACATGCTGGCCGAAACGGGGCCCCGCTGGGCGCAGGCGTGGTTACGGCCGCCAGCGGTTTGGTCTCTAGTAGCCAGGTAGCCAACAAACACCGTGCACATCGGGGGAAATAGAGTCCACGATAGCCAGGTTCAATACCGGCGCCGAGGCCACGTTCGCTACACAGTTAGAACAGCCATCGTTAGAGCCTTGAGGGGGGGGGGGGGGGGGGTGAAGCACTCTCCTATGTGAGGCAGAGTGTCTATATACTCGTGCTACCGGGTTTGCCAGGGCCTGTAATAATTAGACACTGCTCAAGCACGTGAAACATGGGATATTAGACGTATAATGTTTTATCGCAGGGCAGTGTCAGTGGCAGGTACACGCTTCACGACCGTCTTATGATTTATGATAATATATATATATATATATATATATATATATATATATATATGGCACATCGTACGTTCAAAGAATATAAAAAGGTATTGGGTGAGACAAAATGAGGCTCATTGACAGTGTGCTTGTATACCTTTAGTTCTTACACGAGATACCGGTCTATCTATAGTTGGTGCGCAAGCATGAGTCTGCTTGTTCTTTTCATGTCTACGTGCATTAGAAGTTCCAACAAATCGGTAAAAAATAAAAATAATGTATAATCGCAATCTTATTGCACGCACTAATAACTCTCGCTATGCGACGGTAACAACAACTCCTCACTGCAAAAAAGAGAAGTTAGACGTCGGCGCGAATGCTGACTCTCTACATTACTCCCCATACATAATCATTGTATTATCAAGGGTATCAAGGGTATCAAGGGAATCAAGTGTAATCAATGGGGAGTAATGCAGAGAGTCAGCATTCGCGCCGACGTTAGCCTTTTCTTTTGCAGTGAGGAGTTGTTTACCGCAGATTGGAGAGTTATTAGTGGTGCAATAAGATTTATTATACATTATTTTTATTTTTACTGATTTGTTAGAACTGCCAGTGCCTACGTGTGTAGAATGTATAGACACATCTTAGCTGCATCATTCAGAGCGGATAACATGGTTCGCCCGCTGTCCTACAATTGTAGAATAGAAATATAAACCTTCATGAGCTAAATTTCAACATAGGCAACAATGTTAAGATGGTGAAAACAATCATATGAAATTTGATTGAACGACAAAGCTTTGAATGTTGACTGCACGTAACGGCATCTGCTGTTGAAGGAAGGTATTTTGGGATACAGAGATGTACACCATACTTTCTACTGTCATATGTAGAGACGCTATATCTTCTGTAATTTATAACTGCGCCGTTATTGGCCCTTCGAGAGGTTAATGGCGACTGTTCGATTGATTCGCCTCCAAGTATTCACAAACTGTTTTAAAATAGTAAATAACAATGTCTAACATGCCACCCAGTTCATTTTGCGACGAAGTGAATTTTGCACTGGCCTTCAGTTAAAACCTACACAAGGTTATGAACAAGGAATAAGAACTTGTCTGATTATCGGTACACAGGATTGCATTAAATACTCTCGGGCCAATATCATAACGGTGGAGAGATTTTCAGCCGTCAAACACGTGGCAAATGGTTCATTAATAGAACTCATATTTGACCTCTTTTCATATGATTTGTCACATTGTCCATTATTCATTTTATTTGTTACTTTGTCTATTAATCATATTATTTGTCACATGAATTGTCCATTATTTATAATTATTATTTGTCACATTGCCCATTATTCATATCATTTGTCACATTGTCTATTATTCATATTATTTGTCACATTAATTGTCTTTTATTTATATTATTTGTCACATTGTCTATTATTAATTAATATTATCTATCTGTCATATTGCTTCATTAATCGACATGAATTCTTGAAAAATTCACATGTAATATATATAAACAACTATCGCTCAGTTTACCAGTTTGTTTTAATTGACAAGAAAGGGAATAGAAATATACATGTACCGCTTCGGATAATCAACTAATGTTTAATGCATAATTTTATTTCATTTTGAATCATTATCTATACATGATTACAAGGCAAATACTATTGCGGTATACTAAGGGAACCGAGTCGTTTGACCCCGTCAACCAACGCCAATATGCGATATTCTGTTTCCTTATTTCATTATTATAACCGCGGAATAGCTGTGATCTTATAAGGCAGTGGGTGTTGTATGAGACCGACGGTTTTGCCGACAGGGAAAGCTGTGACGCCCTCTGGTAGCTGAAATGTGAAACGCTGCAACAGGTTCGCCATGACAGTAAACATCATGTCGCGAGCGAGTTGCATGCCGGGACATTTTCGGAAACCGTTGCCAAACAGCATCATCTTTTTATCCGGTGCCACGACGACTCCGTTCTCATCTAGATACCTAGTCGGGTCAAACTTCTGTGGCTGTGGGAAATTGATGGGATTCATAGCCATTTTGGCGTGGTTGATCAGTAGAATGGTATCCTTAGGCACGTCAAAGCTTCCTAAGGTGGTATCAGACAATGCACCGCGTATGCCGGGCATGGGAACGATCGTTCCTACACGCTGAATCTCCCAAAGCGTAGCCTCCAAGTAGGGCATGTTGCGGCGATCCTTCGTCGTCGGCGCCCTGCCGCTGCCGACGACCTCGTCGATCTCAGCCTGCAGCTTCTTCTGCACGTCTGGATTCTGCACGAGCAGCTGAATGCCCCAGACGGTGGTAGCAGTAACAGTATCAAATCCATTGCTTTGTAAATCATCTAACACACAGCAGATGTCTGCGTCGGAGACCATCAGCTTGCCCGTCTGCTGCTGGATGAACAGGTGATCGAGAAAATCGCGCGGACTGGACTCGTTCAACGTCTGCCTGTGTTCCTCCACCACTTTGGTGTGCCAGTCCGTCATCGTTTGCACGTGTCCTTTCAATTCTCTAACTTCAGCGCTGGTGACGCAGGCGAGCGATGGGAACCAGTCCACAAGCAGACATGATCCCAGCTCCAACCTTGAAGTAAAACGGTACATGTTACGAAACATCTACCGGCCCCTCTCTCTCTCTCACACACACACACACACACACACACACACACACACACACACACACACACACACACACACTACTCTCTCTCTCTCTCTCTTCTCTCTCTCTCTCTCTCTTCTTTCTCTCTCTCTCTCTCTCTCTCTCTCTCTTTCTCCCCATTCCTCCATTATCCCGTTCCCTTTCATCCATACCTTCCTCCCTCCCCTTCCCTTCTCCTTAATTCTCTCCCTCCTCCATTTCTTCCTCCCTCACTCTCTCCAATACTTCCCCATTCTGCTCTTCCTCCTTTTTTCCCTATTTCTCTCAAGAAATTCTAGTCTTTTCTCTTCCTCAGGGTTCGTTGTCAGACACAAAATTATAATTCTAATTCCTCCTAGGCCGTTGACAAAAACATTGTAAAATTACGAAAATTAAAATTCTTGACAAATTTTCTTTTAACATTATGAGATCCTAGACCCACTCGCATCTTTCAAACGAAGACAAAAAGAACCAAATTAAACGACAAAATTGCAATTATCGTGATATAATATGCTATACTGTTTCCCGATAATGTACCAAAATAAACATTCGCAAGTGGCGTTTGTTCTCTTGTTTTGAAATTTTGATGAGGCATGGTGCTCGCGTCTTATGTTGGGCCGGGCGGAATAATAATGAGTTGCAAAATAAAGACATGATCGTGTAGTTTGTCATTAGTTATTATTTATTTAAATGATTCACTACCATGATATGCATGTATTCACGTCATATACAATAAATATATATGAATGTGAGTCTTGTGATCGATTCTCATCGAATCAATGGCGTTGTGATAGCAAATTACCTAGTTGAAGTTGTTGTTATCGTACATTTTCTCTGGTAGGATACACATTAGCCTACAATGTTTCTGGCAATGAGCCCAGGGGCGGATCCAGGATTTTAGGATGGAGGGGGTGCAACTTTTGTAAAAATACACTGCAAATGGGGGCGAAGCACCCAAAACAATTTTTACTCGTTAAATTCATTAATTTCACATATAGGCTATATGGGTTTTCGGTCCATAAGTTATTAATGTGAGATTTTGGCGTGGCTGATTGAAATGCGTGTATTTGACAATATAATGTAACTCATCCAGTGCATCTATACAGGCGACCGTACAGTGGCGCCATGCTGCATGGCGCCGCCACTGTATTGCTAACATCATTTTAAGAAAGGCAGCGGGTAGTTTTGGACCTAGATTTTCCGTTTTGGATTGGAGCATGGTATGGCCCGACTCCTGGGCCCGACCAATCTATATATTCCAAGAAAAACGAGGGCTTGATCGGGACCGACTGAGTGAAATACTTGTCAGATACAGGCCGAGCGGCAAAACATACCGTTTTTTTAATAAGGCAACTTTTGCAAAAAGGGCACTTTGCGTGGGAAGGGGGGTGCGCACCCCCTGCACCCTCCCCCCCACCTGGATCCGCCCCTGGAGCCCCAGTCTCAAGTCTCTCTCACAATAACGTTCTGACAACGGGCCCCTGGCCTTTTATGTTTATGTCTTTCTGTCGCTATTTCTATCTCGAACTACATTACTATCTCTATCTCTCTATCTCTATCTCTCTCTTTCTATCCCTATCGTTCTCTATAGCGCGCTCTCTCTCTCTCTCTCTCTTCTCTCTCTCTCTCTCTCCCTCCCTCTCTCTCTCTTCTTTCTCTCTCTCGTTCTCTCTCTCTATCTACCTATCTCTCTCTCTCTCTCTCTTTCTATCCGTATCGCTCTCTTTCGCGCGCGCTCTCTCTCGCGTCATTAACTACTGCATTGAATTTGTATCCAGAAACTTTCTAGTCCTAGACAACGGAGATACGAACCTGCGAGCAAACGTGGCCGCCCATTTCAAGTACTGCTCGTCTCGCTGTTGGAATATTTTCCCATAGAGCCACATGCCGATGATGTTGACGTAACAGAACTCGATCACGTGATGTGGCTCGAATGGTTTACCATGCTCACTGGCGACGTCCTGCATCAGCAACGCGATTTCACTCGATATAATCGTGTTAAACTTCTCAGCGACTTCAGGAATAGCCGGATTCAAAGCCGCGCGAACCTGTTTGATTTTCTTGCGTTGCATTTCGGAGGCTCGAGTGAATGCCACTCCAAGACTTTGGTCGCCAGCCTGTCCCAACTTAAAAGATAAAAGGTCGGGCCGGTCGGCAAAGCATGGTCCCTTTTCTACGATAGGCTTCTGCCCACGTCTCGGTAGCTGTTGACAACAACCTACGCGCTTCTGAGCCCATGTTCAAACTGATATATAATTCCGTATCGCTCCGACATCTTGTTAAAAAATATTCTCCGCGTCGCTTGCGAATTCGAACATGCTGGCGAACGACGGGCACCCGCTGGGGCCAGGCGGTGCGCGTTACCCGCGCATGCGGTTTGGGTCTTAGTAGCAAGTAGCCAACAAACCAGCGCTAGAGCACGATAGCCAGGTTCATAGGCGCTGAGCACACGTTGCCACACTTAACAACAGCCTATCGTTAGAGCCTTATGAACACTCTCCTAGAGTGGCAGACGTGCTATATGGCAGATGCTACCTTTGCCCAGCGGCTCTGCATAATACCCACCGTCAAGACCGCGAGACATGGAAATTAGCGGGATGTTTCCTCTAGGCACTGTCAGTGCTGCTACAGACTTTGCGAGGTGTTTAAGGTTATATAAATATGTTGACTCATACGTGCAAATAACACAAACAAATTCTTGTATACATGCAGGTGACATGCGAGATTAAAGATATAGAGATGTGCATGATATTTTGTACCGAAACCTACAGGCATCGACGCTATGCGCTGTAATTTATAGCTGCGCAGCGTTATTTCGACCCTTCAATTGGATAATAACGATTGTTAATAATTCGCATCTAAGTATTTAACGAGCAGTTGTCGTCAACTACATGTATCCCCCCTGATCTAGTGTTGAATGGAATATTCTCTGTAAGGACGTAGAAGGCAGGGTAAAGTTAAATAATGTACAAGACAAAGGCTTTGTTAGACAACTGGTGTGCTCAGATGTGCAAGTATATGGAATCTGGTTACCCTAGGAGGCCGAAGAGGAAAATGTAGTCGGATGGTGAAGGTCAAACTAAGGTCAAAGGGGCAGTGCGTGGTTTTGGTATATGCGACAGACCTTCTCCGCCCAAGATGTGTAAGCATACCAAGTTTGGATCGGCGCTAGGTCAATTAGGGCGAGGTGTAGAGAGCGAAAGAGAAATATGATCAAGGTAGGTAAATGTGAAATACAATGTCGGCAGTGACCTGTGGGCAGGTTTTTACCCGATCTCGGATCATTCTTCTATATTTAGCTGAAGGTGCCGTTATCGGAAAGCAAAGACGCCAATCGTTTTGTGTGTGGGCCGGAGTCATCGTTGCCATGTAACACATTTTCTGGAAATATGTAGACTCCGTAACTCTGTGGCCTGTTTTTACGCCGATGGTCATGGAATTTGGCACACAGTGCGCCGATTTTAAACATGTCCTATATATACTTATATAATATTTTAATATTTTGAATGACAATCATAATTCTTTAATATAAATTTAATATAATTTAATATAAATTTAAATATAAATTTTAACTACAAATATAAAATTTCATTGACAACGGTAAAAGTGCAGAGTTCTAGAATATTTCGACAAAAATGTTGTTGACCATGGCAACGATGACTCCGCCCACACCAAACAACTGAGGCGCCTCGCTTTACGAAAACCCCTTTCATGCGAAATTTGAAGATGATCCGCAGAAGAACTGCAGCCGCCGTAGAGCGTTCACAGGAAATCTCTGCAGCGCGGCGGCGCGGCGCGACGATGCCAAACCCATAGTATCCCCGAACTTCGTTCGGGGGATACAATAACGGTTAAAACTATTGTAAATAGCAATATAAAAAATACGATCCAGTTCATTTTATGATGAAGTGAAATTTGCAGTACTTGTGTAATGATCCAGTTTGATAAAATATTCTGGACTCATTGTTTAAAAATACTTCCGTTAAATATCTGGCAAATCATTACAAAAATACTTAACATGTGTTATATGATTATTTATATTATTTGTAATATAATCTACATCAATACTTGGACAAATATGATGAAATGATATTTGTATATACCTATCGCAAAGATTTGTAGCTTGTTTCAATTAACAACAAAAGAATGCGAGTAAACATTAACCGTTTCGAAAAAAATCAACGTATGTTTCATGAATTAAAATTTTCCATTTTTAAACACAAGCTATACATGATGACAAGAGCAATACAATTGCTGTATGCTAAGGAAACTGCGTCGTTTGACTCTGTTAACCAACACCGATATACGTTACTCTGTTTGCTCTTTAAAGTGGCCGATGGCATGTTATCGAAGAATACTGTGATCCTATAACGAGACGGCATACTGCACAAACCGTCGGTTCTACGACAGGGGAAAGCTGTTGACGCCTCTGAGCTGGAAATGTGAAACGCTGCAACAGCGTTCGCCATGACAGTAAACTCGTTGTCGCGAGCAATTGCATGCCGGGGACATATTCGGAAGCCGTTGCCGCAACCGCAATCATCTTTTTACTCGGTGCCACGGACGACTTCGTTCTCATCAGATACCTAACGGGTCAACTTCTTCGGCTGTGGGAAACTTAATGGGATCATAGCCATCTTTATGCGTCGATTAACCAGTAGAAGTGGTATTCTTCGCCGAGTCAAAGCCTCTATAAGGGTAGCTTAATCAGACAACGCGTCAGTATACAAAGCACGGTGCAAATCAATCCTTACACGCTGAATGCTCCCAAAGGTTAGCCTCAAATAAGGCATGTTGCGCACGATCCTTCGTCGTCGGCGCCTCTGCGCTGCGACACCTCGTCGTTCTCTAGCCTGCCTAGCTTCTTCTGCACGCTGGATTCTGCACAAGCAGCTGAATGCCCCAGAGGTCGTAGCGCAGTGACGCTATCAAACACCCATTGACTCTGTTATGTAAATGCATCTAACAACCACAGCAGATAGTCAGGTGTCGGACACCATCAGCTGCCCGTCTGTTGTTGGATTAGTAGGTGGTCGAGATAAATCGCGGCGACTGGCACTCGTTTCAACGTCTGTCGTGTTCCTCTACTAATCTATTGTGCCATTTCATGATCGTTTCTACCAGTCCTTTAAGTTCTTTTTCTTCGGCACTGGAAATATAGGCGAGCGATGGGAACCAGTCTCTACAAGTCGACATGACCTTAGGCTCCAACGCTTACGAAGTAAAAAGGGGTTTCGTGTTACGATATCTAAGATCCGGGTCCTCTTTCGCCGTCCCTAGCTTCCTTTGTCTCCCTTCCTAACATCACTCGCTCCCTCCCTGCCTCCAACCCACCATGCCCTCTCTTCCTTTCTCACCCGTTTCCTTTCTTCCGTTCTATCAATTGTTTTCGTCCTTATCTGTCTCTCAAGCTCGTCTCTCACGCTCTCCTCGACGGTTGTTGTTTTTTGCCTTTCCTATCACCAACTCTTTCCTCTAATCACTTTCTCGCTCTTTATCTGTATCTCTCTCTCTCTCTCTCTCTCTCTCTCTCTCTCTTCTACGTCTCTCTCTTCTCTCTTCTCTCTCTCTCTTCTCTCTCGCTCTCTCTGCTCTGCTCGAATGTCTCTGTGTCTCTCTAATCTCTCTCTCTCCTCTCTCTCTCTCTCGTCTCCTTCTCTGCTCTCTCTTGTTTTCTCTCTGTTTCTCTCGCTGCTCCTCTCTCTCTCTCTTCTCTTTCTCTTTTCTATCTCTCTCTCTCTCTCTCTCTCTCTCTCTCTCCTCGCTCATCTCCTTTTCTTCTCTCTCTCTCTCGCCGCTCTTCTCCCCCCCTTCTCTCTCTCTCTATCTTTCTCTCTCTTTTCGATTATCTCTCTCCCTCTCCTCTTCTCCTCTCTCTTCTTTCTCCCTCCCCTCTCTCTCTCCTCTCATTTCTTCATCTCTTCGCTCTCTCCTCCTCTCTCTCTCCTCTCTCTCTCTCTCTCTGTCTCTCTCTCTCTCTCTCTCCCTCTCTCTCTTGCTCCTCTCTCTCTCTCCACCCTCTCTCTCTTTCTCTCTCTCTTCTCTCTTCTCTCTCCCTCCCTCCTCTCTTTCTCTCTCTCTCTCTCCCTCCCTCTTTCTACCTCTCTCTCTCTCCCTTCCCTCTCTCCACCTCTCTCTCTCTCTCTCTTTCTCTCCTTCACCTTTCTCTCTCTCTCCTCTCTCTCTCTTGCTCTCTCTCTCTCTTTCTTTCTCTCCTCCATCCTCTCTCTCTCTCGTCTTTTCGCTCTCTCCTTCCTTTGCGTTTCGGGCTCAACTCTCTCTATCTCTTTTCTCTCTCTCTCTACCTTCTCGATATTCCATCCCATCTTGGCCCAATATCTTTAATCTCTATTTCTATCTCCTTCTTTTATCTCTAGTTCTATCTCTTTTCTTCTTATCTCTCTCTTTGTTTTTCTCTCTTCCTCTTCGGTTCTTTCTCTCTCTCTCTTCTCTTTCTCCTTCTCCCCTCTCTCTCTCTCTTTCTCTTTCTCTCTCTCTCTCCTTCTCACGTCTGTTTCTCTTTCTCACCTGCTCTCTCTCTCCGATATTCGATCCCACCCTCTTCATCAATACTTTAAACTTATGTCTATCTCCTTATTCTTTTCTCTATTTCTATCTGTATCTCTCTTTCTATTTTTAATCACGTATCTACTCTAGCATCTAAATTTTTTAATCTTATTTGCTAATTAAATCCCATCCTACCTCATCACTCTGTCTCTTCTCCACATCTGGTCCTCTATCTATTATCATGCATTACTATCACAATCACTGCTTTTCAATCTGTCCGTCTCTACATCCTACTCTATCTCTAATTTCTGGCCTCTATCTCGTATCTCTATCTCTATCGCTATACTGATCTATCTGATATCTGTATCTGTACTCTATCTGTAACTTGGCCATAATCTATTTTTAGGTATCAATACACGGCGCCAAATCTGCATCCTTTCTCCGTTCCTCTTTCTCCGAATTAAGGCCCGCTCTCTCTTCGTTTTCTTCTCTCCCTCTCTCTCTCTCTCTCTCTTCTACTCTCTCTCTCTCTTTTACAACTCGCTCTCGTTCTCCCGCTCTCCGCTCTATCTCTCAGCTCTCTCGCTCTCCCTCTTTAACTCTCTTCTCGCCCTCTATTTCTATAGCCACTCGCTCTTGCTCTCTCGTCATAATTATAATGCACGTTTCTTAGCCTAATAAATACTTGTAGACAAACGTAGAATACGAAACCTTCGAGCAAAAACTGGCCGCCCATTTCAAGTACTGCTCGTGCTTCGCTGTTGGAACATTTTCCCATAAAGCCACAAACTGATGATGTTGACGTAACAGAACTCGATTACGTGATGTGGGTCGAACGCTTTACCATTTTCGCTGGCGACGTCCTGCATTAGCAACGCGACTTCACTCGCTGTAATCGTGTTAAACTTCTCAGCGACTTCAGGAATGGCCGGATTCAAAGCCGCGCGCACCACTTTGATTTTCTTGCGTTGCATTTCCGAAGCTCTTGTGAATGCCACACCGAGACTTTGGTCCCCAGCTTGTTGTAGCTTGAAAGAGGCTAGGTCGGGCCGGTCGGCAAAGATGTGTCCCTTCTCTATTATAGCCTGAGCCCACGTCTCGTAGCTGTTGACAACAACTACGCGCTTCTGGCCCAAGTTCAAACTAAATATATTTCCGTATCGCTCCGACATCTTGGTGAAAAAGATCTCCGGTCGGTTGCCGAGTTCGAACATGCTGCCGACGACGGGCCACCCGCTGGGGCCGGGCGGTGGGTTACCCCGCCAGCGGTTTGGTCTCAGTAGCAAGTAGCCAACAAACAGGGTTAGAGCCACGATAGCCAGGTTAATAGGCGCGAGCCACGTTGCCACACTTGCAACAGCCATCGTTAGAGCCTTGTGAACGCTCTCCTAGGTGCGCAGACTGTTTATATGCAGTGCTACCTTTGCTCCAGGCTACAATAAATACCCACTCGTCAAGGACGCGGGACATGGAAATATAGGCGGGATGTTTCCTCTAGGCACTGTCAGTGCTGCTACGGACTTGCGAGTGTGTTTAAGATTACATCAATATGTTGACTCATACGTGCAAATAACACAAACAAATTTGTCAGCCAATGGGGCGGTTATTATAAGCATGCTTGTATACATTCAGGTCACATACGACTACAGGTACAGTTCAGGTACATACAGAGATGTGCATCATATTTTGTACCGGCATATGTATAGATATTATCAAGAGCTAATAATACGCACAAGTATTATTAGCTCTTGATATTATGTATATACGCTATCCTCCAATAGTAACTGCGCCGTTATTGGCCCTTCAATAGGATAATAACGGCTGTTATTGATACGCCTCTAAGTATTCAAGAACGGTAAATAAGAAAATAAAAAATACTGTTTATTTTACGATGGAGTGAATTTTGCAAGACTTGTCTAATGATCATTGTACAAAATTCCAAAGATATTCTGGACTCATTATTCAAGAATGTCGTTTGATTTCCTTCCGTTAGACATGTGGCAAATCATGATATAAATACATAACATTTTTTTATGATTTTTTATATTATTTGTAATATAATCTACAACAATACTTGGAAAATTATAATGTAATACATACAGTTATCGCAAAGATTTTTTGCTTGTTTCGAACAACAACAAAGGAATAGGATTAAACTTGAGCCGCTTCGAAAGATATCAACGAATGTTTAATGAATAATAATTTCTTATTTGAAAACATAAAATATAAATGATTCCAAGAACAATAGAATCAGAAGTAGATAATAGGGATCATAATTTTATAATTTTACATTTTAAAACACGACCTATACATGATAACAAGAACAATAGAATTGAGGTTTGCTAAGGAAACTGTGTCGTTTGACTATGTTAACCAACACCAATATTCGTTACTCTGTTTTCTTCCTTCACTGCCGAGGCGTTTATCGAGGGATAGCTGTGATCTTATAAGAAACTGGATACTGCACAAGTCCATCGGTTCTACCGACAGGAAAAGCTGTGACGCCCTCTGGTAGCTGAAATGTGAAACGCTGCAGCAGGTTCGCCATGACAGTAAACATCATGCCACGAGCGAATTGCATGCCGGGACATATTCGGAAGCCGTTGCCAAACAGCATCATCTTTTTATCCGGTGCCACGACGACTCCATTCTCATCCAGATACCTAGACGGGTCAAACTTCTGCGGCTGTGGGAAATTGATAGGATTCATAGCCATCTTGGCGTGGTTGGCCATTAGAACTGTGTCCTTGGGTATATCAAAGCCTCCTAAGGTGGTATCAGACAACGTGCCACGTGCACCAGGTATGGGGGCCATTATTGCTACACGCTGAATCTCCCAAAGCGTAGCCTCCAAGTAGGGCATGTTGCGGAAATCCTTCGTCGTCGGCGCCCTGCCGCTGCCGACGACCTCGTCGATCTCAGCCTGCAGCTTCTTCTGCACGTCTGGATTCTGCACAAGCAGCTGAATGCCCCAGATAGTGTTAGCAGTGACAGTATCAAATCCATTGCTCTGTAAATCATCTAACACACAACAGATGTCGGTGTCAGACACCATCAGCTTGCCCTTCTGCTGCTGGATTAGCAGGTAGTCAAGAAAATCGCGCGGATTGGACTCGTTCAACGTCTGTCGGTGTTCCTCGAGTAATTTCATGTGCCAGTCCATCATCGTTTGTACGAGTCTTTTTAATTCTTTGGCTTTACCGCTGGTAATGTAGGCGAGCGATGGGAACCAGTCCACAAGCATACATGATCCTAGCGCCAACCTAGAAGTAAAACCGTACAGGTTAAACGTTACGGAGATCTTTCTCACCATCCTACCCTTCCTTCCTTTCTTTCTCCCTCCCCCATCCCTCTCTCTCCGTTTCTCCTTCCATCCACCCTTCCCTCCCCCCTCCCTTCCGTTCTCCCTTTTGCGCCCGCTTTCTCATTCTTTCACTTCTTCCTCGACAGTTTTTCCGTTTTCTATTACAATTTCCAACTCCTTCCTTTGCTATCTTTCTAGCTCCTTATCTCTGTCTCTTCCTCCTACTATCTATCTTTGTCTCGGTCTCTGCCTCTGTCTAATACCCTGTACAGACTGCATAATTTTATCCCACATTAAACTGGTACGGGCCTGTCGCGCGCCAAGCGCGTACCAAATCGTAGCGTACAGACACAAAATTTGATCCCACATTAAATGTTACCTAAATAAAGCTATGCGCATGCGTATTGCGAAATCTGGCGCACGCCTGGGCCAACATTGCGTATATACACACACACGCGCGCGCGCGCACAAGCGGGATAACTTGGTCTTGTCCATGTTATCCCAGGCTTGGCCCTCCTTCATTTGCGGGGCCAAATTGGTGCGGGCCAGCGCGTGTTTGGAGCGGGATAGCGTGTACACACTGCAAAAATTTGACGCGCGCCTGGCCCGGACTACTTTAATGTGGTATCAAATTTGCAGTCTGAACGGAGTATAAATTTGGTATTTTTCTGTGTATCGATACGCCTTCCTCCATCCCAATCTATCGCTATTTATTCCTATTCTTCTTTCAGTCTCGCCACATCTTCAAAGTCCATGCTCTCTCTCTCTCTCTCTCTCTCTCTCTCTCTCTCTCTCTCAAACAAATTTGTCAGCAATTGGGCGGCACCACTTTGATTTTCTTGCGTTGCATCTCGGAAGCTCGTGTAAATGCCACACCGTGGTGTTGATTTCCAGCCTCTTCCAACATAAAAGAGAAAAGTTCGGGCCGGTCGGCAAAGATGTGTCCCTTCTCTACGATAGCTTCTGCCCACGTTTCGTAAGTGTTGACAACAACCGCGCGTTTCTCGCCGAGGTTCAAACTAAATATGTCGCCGTATCGCTCCGACATCTTGTTAAAAAAGATGGTCGGTTGGTTGCCGAGTTCGAACATGCTGCCGACGACGGGCCACCCGCTGGGGCCGGGCGGTGGGTTACCCCGCCAGCGGTTTGGTCTCAGTAGCAAGTAGCCAACAAACAGGGTTAGAGCCACGATAGCCAGGTTCATAGGCGCGAGCCACGTTGCTATACTTACAACAGCCATCGTTAGAGCATTAAAGTTGAGTACACTCTCCTAGGTGCGCAGACTGTCTATGCAATGTCGCGTTTGCCCCAGGCTGAAATAAATACCCACTCGTCAAGGACGAGAGCAAGATAGGCGGGATATTTTCTCGAGGCATTGTCCGTACAGCTCCCGACTTGCTGTGTGTGTTTAAGATTATATAAATAGGTCGACTCATACGTGAAAATAACATAAACAGATTTATCAGCCAATAGGGCGGTTATTATAAGTGTAACGTCTAGCTTGACGCTACACAAATGCGAGGGGAGATGGTAGGAGAATAACAAGGAGGTAAATGAAAATCAGTGGAATCGACAATCAATGGCGAAGACTAAAAGTACGGGAACACGATGTATCTTCATTCACAGATAACACCGGTGGTGAACAATAGGCACGAAAAAGAACTCGCACAGGCGCGTGACTGGGCGTCCCTGGATTCCGCCACGACGTGGTCGCGCAAACCCTATTTATCCGTCTTCTCTCGGTTCCTACGCATCGCGCATGCGTCTTCTATCTCCCTGGTCCCAGCAACATGCGTGTATAGAGCACACGCGTCTATCGCCGTCTATCTACACACGTCGGCTCTCGCCTTCTACAAAACGCTTACATCCAGTTAAATGATAAGGTCGGTTCTCTCTCGCGCGACCTGTAGGCGATTTTGGCCCGTAAAGCCATTTCGCTGCGCCTAGTTTAGTTACATAGTCATGCTAGTAGTTTAGTTATACGGCCATCACCTGTGATCGCCTGTTCGGTGCGTAGCTATACTTCTATAAGATATGTTTTGATCAACCATTGTTAGAGTATGATTTTAAGTACAATATTGGTCGCTACGTAAACATTCTTCTATACATTCAGGTAACATACGAGATGGGAATTTAATTAGTTATAGTGTCTATGAATACCTGCGTGCGTTCTTGCATGTGTTCATATAATCATAGATACATATCATCTTCATCATTACGTGCGACACGGACACCGATAACATGGTTAAAATGCCATCCTACATTTGTTGAATAGAAATATAATCCTTTATGAGCTAAATATCAACATAGGCGAAAAGGAAAAGCAGGCCGGGGCACAGAAGTTATATGAAATTTGATTGAACGACAAAGCTTTGAATGTCAACTGCACGTAACGGCATCTGCTGTTGAAGGAAGGTATTTAGGGATACATAAATGTAGACTGTACTTTCTACCGCCATACGTGGAGATGATATATTCTGATGATCGACACACAAAATTTAATTGATTTGTTTTTTTCGTTTTTTCTTCCAACTTTTAAAGTAGTGGTGTGATTTGTTTTCCGTCAGACTGACGCAAGTGTTTATTTAATAACACACGCTTTCACAATTAATTATATTAGTTGTGATATTGTTTTATTAATCGGCATGAATGCTTTTTCATTAGACAATTTCATTATGAATTCATTATGAATTCATTTCATTTCAATTCATTCAATTCATTCATTCAATTCAATCATTCATTCATTCATTCAATTCATTCATTCATTCAATTCAATTCATTCATTCATTCAATTCATTTCATTCATTTCATTATGAATTCATTAGACAATTCATATGTAATATATACAACTGTCGGATAGTTTCTTCATTTGTTCAAAACGCCAATAAAAAGAATACTAATAGACATGTACTGCTTTGAAAAAATAAACTAATCTTTATTAAAAAAGTATTTTCCATTTTAAAACATAACCTCTACATGATTACCAGGAGAATGCTTTTAAGATATGCAAAGTAAACCGAGTCGTTTGACTCTATTAACCAACACCAATGTGCTTTTCTTCTTTCAATGCCGAGGCATTTATCGAGGAAAATCTGTGATTTTATAAGAGACTAGATTCTGCACAAGCAGCTGAATGCCCCAGAGGGTGGTAGCAGTGACAGTGTCAAACCCGGCACCCTGTACATCATCCAAAACACAGCAGATGTCGGTGTCGGACACCATCAGCTTGCCCGTCTGCTGCTGGATTAGCAAGTGGTCGAGAAAATCGCTCTGACTAGACTCGTTCAACGTCTGCCTGTGTTCTTCAATCAGTTTCATAATAATGCCAGTACATCATCGTTTCAACGAGTCCTTTTAATTCTTTGAATTGAGCGCTGGAAATGTAGTCGAACGATGGGAACCAGTCCACAAGCAGAAATGACTAGCGTCAACCTAAAAGTAAAACGGTGCATGTTACAGAGCATCTATACCCGTCTGCCCCGCTCTCTACCCAACATCACCCTCTGTCACTACTCTCTCGCTCTATTTTTCTTCCACGCTTTCTCCGCCCCTTCTCTCTCTCTTTCTCACAAACACACACACACACGCGCACGCGCGCGCGCACGCACGCACGCACGCACGCACGCACGCACG